GTTGACACAAATCTCTTTGAGGCAGTCTTTTTTCATGGCATCGCCAAACTCCTCCCACACCCAGGTTCTTGCTTCAGCCACTGCCTGAGCCGCCTTCCGCTTGCCCTGTCGGTACCTATCAGCTGCCTCAGAAGTCCCACAGGCTAACCAAGCCCGATAAGAATCCTTCAGTCTGACGTTTCCCTTCACCTCTGGTCTCCACCATCTTGTTTGGGGGTTACCACCACAACATGCACCAACAACCTTGTGGGCATAGCTTCAGGAATGGAGGTTCTGAACATTTGGACTCAGAATGCTGTCAAAGCTCAGCCGGAGGTGGGAGTTGAAGATCTCTCAGACCGGGACCTCTGCCCGGTCTTCCCAGCACACTCTCACTAGATGTTTACCTGATCCACCTGATCCAACTCACCACCAGGTCAGTTGACAGCTCAGCACCTCTCTTCGACCGAATGTCCAGAACAAACTGCCGCAGATCCGATGATATGATTACAAATTGTATCACTGACCTGCGGCCTACAGTGTAGTGCCACGTGCACTTATGGGCTCTCTTATGTTCAAACACAGTGTTTGTTATAGACAAACTGTGGTTTGCAGTGAAGTCTCTTAACAAAAAAACCCACACTCAGGTTCCGATCCAGCAGGCCGTTCCAACCAATCGCACCTGTGCAGGTCTCACTTTCATTGCTCATCAGCATTGACGTCTTCCAGTAGGATGACAGAGTCCAGTGGCGGAGCATTTGATATTATTGACCATAATGTTTTATTACAGAGATAAGAGTATGCTGTAGGTATTAAACCACTACAGCACAGTACCTGTAAGTCATGTCAGAAGTAGTTTTCAGTTTTATAGACTATCATCAGCGATGCCCTTTGAAGCAAACTGCAGGCATTTATGGTCACAAGCCATTCAGTGGACTGACTGGACAGAAAAAATCATTAAAGCTTTAAGAATTGTCATCTTTGCAGTGCCCAATTATTAACAAGCAAGGACATACTTGAGCAGTTAATCAGCAGATATCTTACCACACAGCAAAACTAAATACTCTCAATTTGGAAATTCTTGAAAAAAAAAACTGTAATGACATGTATGATTCTACATGACAATCACACGCTCCTGCACCGAAGACACAAATGTAACATGTAAATAACAATAAGTTGACCACAACAGCCAAAAACCAAAAGGATTACCCAAACACAGATACTATGACACAAAGATTAACAACCAGTAATCCAACCAAGTGATCTGTTATCTCCACCACACAAGTCAAGTCAATTCAATTCAATTCAATTCAATTTTATTTATATAGCG